CAGGTATAACTCCGCCTGGTGCTTCTGCGGATGGGGTTGATGAAAGATTGCAGGAATCACCGCTCCTTTTACAAGGCAGATTACAAAAGTCGGTTTCAGAAGGACCGGAGGTTAAAGACACAACAAAAGAAACACATATAAAAGTACCTCTGGCAGAGGAAGAAAGTTGCGATGATGAGGATGAGAATGAAGGACTAACTCCATCAGGAGAAGAAGAAATTCCACCGTCGTCACCACCACCAGGAGGAGGAAGATTACCACAAGTCGATGATGGACCACTGAAAAATGTAAATGAAATTGGACCGAAACCTGAAAATCAACGCCCAGTCGTGGCTGGAAAACACCAATCAGAAAAAGAAAAAGATCCGCGGCTAGCAGCAGCAGCATTGCCTGCAGAGCTTCCATCGCCCATTGTGAAGGCACCGGAGAGCTCAGAACCCGAAGCAGAAACAAATCTCTCTAATAAAGAAGGAGCAGAAATTGGAGTTGGTAATATGAATCTTACGGAGAAACAGGGAAGCCAGAACGGCGTGAAGAAGGAAGGCCTTTCAATCAACCCACAGACAACAGTACCACCACAACAAACATTATCAGAAAAAACAACGCCGGAAGTATCACCGCCAAAAGCATCACCAGCAGTGACAGTTCCAAAAAAAGGAAAAGGCTTTCCAGCACCAAATCTCTCACAGGAGTCAACACAACAAACGAACGAAAACACGCCGTCACAAAAAGAAACGGCACGCGAAGCAGTGAAACAGCTTTCAGGGGAAGGTACGGCAGAGCAACAAGAGCGCGAGAGAGACAAATCAACTTTGTTGGAGATTACCGATAGCGGCAGCCATGCGGAAACAACAGCACCATTCATCTCTACAAATGGCAGTGACGATGCTCAGGGTACGGTGGATGAAAATAATGACGATGATCCACGGCCTAACCACAGAGAAACACGTGGCCACAAAGCTGCCAATACCAACGATGCTTCTACACCCAGTGAGACAGCACCACAAAAAACAGAAACAGTCACCGTCGCCCGAATGAATGGTACGACAACTGGCGGAAGTGACGGCAGCACCGCGGTCTCCCGCACCACCTCCCCTCTTTTGCTTCTTCTTGTTCTTGTTGCGTGTGCGGCTGCTGCTGCTGTGGTGGCCGTGCCTGCATGAAGTGGTGTGCGCCGAATATCAACGAAGGCCAAAGGCAACTGAATTATTTTTGTGATGAATATTGGCTGCGTTTCCTGTGGGCCAACAATCCTCTTGGTGTGAGAGGATCTTTCCTTTTTGTATTGCTACTTTGCTTTTGTGTTGCCGTGTGCGCTGCACCTCCTCTTGTGTGTGCGTACACTCCGTGAGGGGTGCCGGCACGATGGACCGCTCTCGCCGTATGTACATGCGGTGGAGCCTTGTGTGCCGCTCCTGTTTGCTTCTCCCTCTTCCATCTGTGTGTTGGTGTTGCGGCAGGGCTGTGTGTGTGTGTGTGTGTGCCTGCTGCCGTGGATTGGAGTGTGTGTCGTGCGTGGTGTGCGGCGTACGGTGCATGCCTGGCTGCTGCCCTCTCTCCTCATGTGGTGTGCCCTCTGTGTGTGTCTACCGCACCTCTCGTCTCCCCTGTTGCTCTCCATGTCACTCACTGTGCAGATCAGCCCCACACCACTGAACGACCACACTCACGATGATGACGACGTGCCGTCTGCTGTGCGCCCTGTTGGTGCTCGCCCTGTGCTGCTGCCCGTCCGTGTGCATAAAAGCTAATGGTGTCGACGAACAGGTGGCTCCCGATATGCCAAAGGCACCAGGGGCACAGCTGCCAGTTAAAAAAGAAGTGGAACAAGGCAGAGGAGTAGAGAAACCAGTTATTGTGACCGGTAAGGAAGAAACACAAGGTACGGTATCCGGTGGGGCGTCAAACAATCAAGGTGCTTCAGGTGCGTCCGGTCAGTCACAGCTACAAAGTCCTAGCGTTCCGCTACAGCCACCTACTGCACCAACCGTTGCGTCAGGTGCACAAAGTGGGCCGATTTTACCCGAAAAAGAACAGGAAAAGGAGACGACTGCATCAACGACCATAACGACCAAAACCACCAAGGCACCAACCACAACTACGACTACGACTACGACCACCGCCGCGCCAGAGGCACCAAGTGATGCGGTCAACAGTGCAGAGGCACCAACCACGACGACCACCCGCGCACCGTCACGTCTTCGCGAAGTTGACGGCAGCCTTAGCAGCTCTGCGTGGGTGTGTGCCCCGCTGCTGCTCGCCGCATCCGCGCTGGCGTACACCACTCTGGGCTAAAAGGGAGCGTGGGCTGTGCGTGCCAGCACTCAAAGCCACGGGGACATGTGTACGTCTACTGTGGTCCGATGTATGAAGTAAGAGTAATTATGATGATTGTTTTTGCTTTGTTTGCTTCCGCTGCCCTGCTGTGTGCTCCGCGTTGCTTCCCACATCCACCACGTTGAACGCGTCGCAGACACACTCATATGCATGCGCAGCAGGGCCTTGTGGTATTTTTCTATAATGTCTTTTTTTTTCATTTTTAATTTTTTGCAAGGTGTTGTGCGAGTTTTGGATTTGTGCTGGATTCATTTTTGTAATGGTGTGTGCGCTGCTGCTGCTGGTGGTGTTTTTTACTGTGCCGTGTCTCTCCTTTTGCTTTCACTCTGCGTTGACGGGTGTTAGTTTGTGCTGAAGGCTGCACGCAAGTGACAGGAGTGATGGCGATGATGATGACTGGCCGTGTGCTGCTGGTGTGTGCCCTCTGCGTGCTGTGGTGCGGTGCCTGTGGGGTTTATGCGAGGGACCGCGACAACAGCGCAGTGGGTGGCTGCATGGCGTCAGGAGTGTTGGATACGAGAAGATTGTATATGCCAAGAATATGTAACAAAACTGCTGTTACGCAGCCTTTGCGGCGTGTCTTTCCCATTTCTGCCGTTGGAGCCTCGACTGACGGACAAGTTTCTGGCACAATTGATGGTGGTTTGGTTCCAATTCCGGCACCACCACTACCACCAGCGCCAAATACACCGAAAGCTCCAGAAGCCCCAACATCACATGGCGTGAGTCAACCTGCTGTTGGTGTTCATTCTGGTGATGGAACCCCTTCGCTTCATATTCCTAATGTTGACAGTTCTGTCGGTGGCGGTTCTGGACAAAGTGGCAATTCTGGCGGAACTGTAGTTTCCGTTATGGAGCCGCCTTCTACTGTTGTTGTTATTTCTCCATCCTCCGTTTCCCCTGAAGTTGATGGTTTACAGAACAAAGACGGTCCGCCCTCTAATCTGAAATTGGGATCTCCAGCAATAAGTGTAGAGTCAGGAAAAATCCTTGTAGGGCACAACGGGGAGACAGAAAAGGATTCAACCCCCGATGATGGTCCAGAGTCCTCTCGTATACAAAAAGAAACAGAATCTCGAGCTACGACTGAGGAAGCACGTGGAAGCGAAGCGGGGCAGAGTGGCGTGGGGACGAACGGCCCTTCCAACGTGTTGTCTACCGAAAGCCAACAGCAACATCGAGAAACAACAGTAACAGAAACAAAACCACCACCACCGTCGCCAGGAAAACAAATACCGGCAGTATCATTACCACCGGGAGTAGATACACCTGCAGCTCTCTCACAAGGGCCCCAAGCATCATCACCGGAACCATCACGAGCAGCGGAAGATCCAGAAGAAGAGAAAAGAATCCTACCAGCAACAACAGCTTCACATAATTCAAAAGGAAAAACGCACAAAGCGTCATCCTTACGAAAAGAAACGGTGTCCGCGGCACCGAAAACGCCTTCACCGAATGTCGTGCTTGAGCAAAACAGCGAAGGCACAGTCACAAAGGATGCGATAAAGACGGATGCATATACGGATGGCCCAGCGGCAACATCAGAATCATCTATCTCCACAAGTGACAGTGGTGTTGTTCAGGATAAGACGGAAGAGGAGGATGACAATGAACAACGGCGTGAAGCCAAAGGACCGCACAATGACCACCATGCCGGAAATACCAACGATGCTCCTACAGCCAGTGTTACAGCAGCAGAAACAGTGAAAACGATCACCACCCAAACAAATACTACATCTAAGTCTGGCGACAGTGACAGCAGCACCGCTGTCTCCCACTCCACCTCCCCTCTTTTGCTTCTTGTTGTTGCGTGTGCTGCGGCTGCTGCTGCGGTGGTGGCCGCGTGAGAGTGAGGGAGAGAGAGCCGTGCACCGCCCGCACACACACTCGTCTTTCACTCACTCTCTGTGTGTGTGTCCCCTTGCATGGACTCTCGCCCTCACCTCACCCCACGAAGCACACACATAATGTGCCCATTGTATATATTGCATGCACACCCATGCAGGCCCGTTGGTGCTCTCTTTTGCACCACACGCACCGCTGCCGTCCTGCCTGGCTGCATGGGCGGAGCACCGTAACTGTTTCTGTTTTGTTTTTATTGCATTGAGTGGGCGACCTCTCTCTCTCCCTGTATGTATCTGTGTGTTTTGCTTTACGGGAGCAATGAGAGTGTGTGCTTCGGTCGTCCCACGCTTCGGCTTATTGTTTTGTTTTTCATTGTTTTGTTTTGTGGTTGAGTGCACCCATTCCGCGGGCTGCGTGTGTGTGTGTGTGTGTGATGCTATGAGTAATTTGCGTGCGTGCTATCTGCCTCTCTCTGCCGTCGCATTCTTTGGACTTTCTTGTACTACACAACTGCTCTTCATTTATAGGTACGAACAAACATATGCACACACAATCGCCATTTTGCACACGCTGTGGAGTGGCATGAACGCTGCGAACGCGGGCACAAGATCCCGGCTGTGGCGGCTCTTACGAGTTAGGAGGTCGTGGGTCCGCAATTTGTCCCGGCGAAGTGATGCGGATGTTATTTTGGCGGTGTGCGGCCAGTGAGTAGTGTGGCATTTCGGGTGTCTGGGACAATTGCTTATTCACTCTCTCCCAACAGCTGTACCTGCCGACGTGTCACTGCAGCTGTGCATCCGGCGACGAAGGATTCTCCGGCTGTGTGCGGAGTGATGTGCGGGTGCGTTGGAAGAGACAACAGCAGTACGACTGGCGGCAGCGCGTGGGTGCTGCGAAGGGCGACTGTGCTTTTTTGCATTCCGCCGGTTGTGTTTTTTGCGTGGGCGCTGCTCGGTGTCTGCTGAAGTGTGACGAATAACGACACAACCGGCGTGGCTCCTGCTGCTGCTGGCGGTGGCAGTCGCTGTGTGTTCCCGGTGCACTGTTGTTCCTTCTCCTGTTCCGTGTGTCTGTGTGCGTGAGTTGTTGTTGTTGGGAGTGACTGCGGCGGGGATGATGGTGCCACTCACTGTGGATGGGTGAGGATGCTCACTGTTTCACCTCTTTTCTTGGCGTGTTTTCTCTCTATTTCTCTTTCAATCACACACGAAGAAGGAAAACAAGCGCCAATCGCTACTGTGAAATTCGAAGGCTCTGAAAGGACCAACAGCACACACACCGCCCACACACACTTATTTATATGCACTCACGTGTTGCTGCTGTCAAGGCACCCCGCAAACACAACCGTCGCCGTGTGACCGGATCCAGCGGAAGGAGGAGGGAAGGAAGAGAGAGTGAGCCGCAGAGGCCCAACATGTCCCGGCAACACTTCTATTCTGCGGTGCTGATCCTCCTCGTGATGATGTGCTGCAACGCTGGTGGGGCTGCGGCTGCTGAGGAACCAAGTCAGGGAGCTTCGTCGGGAAAATATTATGTTTGGAGAGACGTGAAAGATGGAGAAGAAACAGTGAGTTCGTTACGTGTTCCCAGTCTTTTGAAAGTGGGGAGTGATGTATTTGCCGTTGCCGAGGCGCATTGCACGAAGAAGGGTGATGAAGGCTGTTTTACTGGGATTGCCTCGGAGCTCCTGGCGTTGACTGGTGAACAAACAAGCAAGGAGTTGGATAAAACTAAACTGAAGACACAAGTACTGGAGGAATGTCCCCCCGACGATAATAAAGGCGCCTGCCGTATAGCGGATCAGGCTGGTTCTCAGGAAGTGAAGAAAGTACATGTGGGCCGACCAACAACAGTTGTGAAGGGAAGTGATATTTACATGCTTGCTGGAAATTACAGTTGGACACTTACCGAGAATGACCAGGCAGGTGACTGGGGACTCATGCTGGTGAAAGGGAACGTCAGTAAGAAGGAAGACGAAAAGAATAAAAGAATTTATTGGAATGATAATTACATTATCCCGTGGAATTATAATGGCAATCAAAATGAACCCTTGAAAAGGCTGGTTGGTAGCGGTGGATCGGGTGTTAAGATGGAGGACGGTACGCTTGTGTTTCCGCTGGAAGGGACGAAGAAGGAGGATGGCACTGAAGAGGATGGAAAGACCGTTTCGCTGATCATATACTCGAAGGATACTAAGAGTTGGAAGCTGTCGAAGGAGACGTCCGCCGACGGCTGCGGTGATCCCTCCGTTCTGGAGTGGGAGAAGGACAAACTCATGATGATGACTGCGTGTGATGGTGGCCGCCGCAGGGTGTACGAGTCCGGTGACAAGGGGGAGTCGTGGACGGAGGCACTCGGGACACTCTCGCGCGTGTGGGGCAACAAACACGAGGGAAATGAGAAGGGCGTTGGGAGCGGGTTCATCACAGCGACTGTTGGAAATGATAATAAAAAAGTGATGCTCATCACCCTGCCAGTGTATGCCAAGAAAGCTGAGAAAGATAACAAAAACAATGAAAAAGGTGAACTTCGTCTTTGGCTGACGGACAATACGCACATTGTTGATATTGGGCCGGTATCCAAGAAGGACCATGACGTTGCCGCCAGCTCCCTGTTGTACAAAGGTGGAGATAATAATAATCAGGAGGAGTTGATTGCACTGTACGAGAAGATGAAGGACGATGAGAAAGAAACATCACCCGGTATGGCCTCTGTGCCTCTGAATAAGCAGCTGCAGCGGGTGAAGGAGGTGCTGGCGACGTGGAAGGAAGTGGACGAACGTGTCTCCCAGCTGTGTGCCACTTTACTTGCTCAGGAGGTTACGCCACCTGACAGTGCCTGCACTACTGTTAAGATCACGGATGGGCTGGTTGGCTTTTTGTCCGGCAACTTCTCTGATAACACATGGATGGACGAGTACCTCGGGGTGAACGCCACAGTAAATAAGAATGATAGGGCAACAGAGGCTTTTGATGGCGTGAGGTTCCGGGGAGCGTGGGCGGAGTGGCCAGTTGGCAGTCAAGGGGAGAATCAGCAGTACCACTTTGCGAACTACAAGTTCACTCTTGTGGCGACGGTGTCCATCGACGGTGTGCCGAAGGAAGATACCCCCA